AAGAAAAAGCCACTATAGTGGCTACTGCTTCAGAACTGGTTGGACACCATGGAGAGTATAGAAAAGCAAAGAGCAGAATATTGTGCTACCACAGAAGCAAACCAGGATATTGCAATTCAAGCAGGCATAGGCTTTATCTATACAGACACTAGGCTGGCACAGCTGTACCGCTGCAGCTGTGCTGCTAAGGTCGCCCGGGTAGTCCACTCTACACCAATGGGGGAGAGGTCTCCTGATGGCATAATTAAACCACCCCTAACTTGCTACGTCTGGGCGGAGAGCATCTCCTCCTATCCATACCAGCTCTTTAGTTGGTGAAATACTTCCTGTCTGGATGTTTTTATCATACCTAAACTGGAAAAAAAGTTTTACCAACAAAAGTGCTAATCATAGAATCATAGAATAATAGGACTGGAAGGGACCTCGAGAGGTCATCGAGTCCAGCCCCCCGCCCTCAAGGCAGGATCAAGCTCCGTCTACACCATCCCTGACAGATGTCTATCTAACCTGTTCTTAAATATCTCCAGAGAGGGAGATTCCACCACCTCCCTTGGCAATTTATTCCAATATTTGACCACCCTGACAGTTAGGAATTTTTTCCTAATGTCCAATCTAAACTTCCCCTGCTGCACTTTAAGCCCATTACTCCTTGTCCTGTCCTCAGAAACCAAGAGGAACAAATTTTCTCCTTCCTCCTTGTGACACCCTTTTAGATATTTGAAAACCGCTATCATGTCCCCCCTTAATCTTCTTTTTTCCAAACTAAACAAGCCCAGTTCATGAAGCCTGGCTTCATAGGTCATGTTCTCTAGACCTTTAATCATTCTTGTCGCTCTTCTCTGTACCCTTTCCAATTTCTCCACATCTTTCTTGAAATGTGGTGCCCAGAACTGGACACAGTACTCCAGCTGAGGCCTAACTAGTGCAGAGTAGAGCGGCAGAATGACTTCACGAGTTTTGCTTACAACACACCTGTTGATACAACCTAGAATCATATTTGCTTTTTTTGCAACAGCATCACACTGTTGACTCATATTCAACTTGTGGTCCACTATGACCCCTAGATCCCTTTCCGCCATGCTCCTTCCTAGACAGTCGCTTCCCATCTTGTATGTATGGAACTGATTGTTCCTTCCTAAGTGGAGCACTTTGCATTTCTCTTTATTAAACCTCATCCTGTTTACCTCTGACCATTTCTCTAACTTGCTAAGGTCATTTTGAATTATGTCCCTATCCTCCAAAGAAGTCGCAACCCCACCCAGTTTGGTATCATCTGTAAACTTAATAAGCGTACTCTCTATCCCAATATCTACATCATTGATGAAGATATTGAACAGTACGGGTCCCAAAACAGACCCTTGCGGAACTCCACTTGTTATCCCTTTCCAGCAGGATTTAGAACCGTTAACAACAACTCTCTGACTATGGTTATCCAGCCAATTATGCACCCACCTTATCGTGGCCCTATCTACGTTATATTTGCCTAGTTTATCAATAAGAATATCATGCGAGACCGTATCAAATGCCTTACTAAAGTCTAGGTATATGACATCCACCGCTTCTCCCTTATCCACAAGGCTCGTTATCCTATCAAAGAAAGCTATCAGACCTTTGGTCTGACCCAGTATGGCTATTCTTATGTTCTTACTGACAGACATCTGACCAACTGTCTCAGTGCTGCTACAACAGAATACAAGCCTGATGTGAAACAGCTGGTGAAAAGTTTGCAGATACAATCTTCACAATGATTATACTTTTATTCCAGTACTTTATTGGCAGTTTTTTTTTTTTTAAATTGTGGATCCAAAACAAAAAAGTAGTCAATATAATGGTCTTCTGTTGATATGCATTTTAGTAGTTAAATTCCTGGACTTTCATTACTCATTAAAAGTGCTGTCGTATGGGTGGAAATCGGGTAAATATTGCATGTTATTAATATCAACAGAGCTGACTTAAATGGGGCCTGCATGTTGTGTACTACTAAACCCTTGTACTCCGAGTGGAGCATAGGTCATCTACAAGTCTCCTCCACTTCACTTTGTCTTGAGACAAAACTTCTAGCTGACTCCAGAAGTACCCCAGTTGTAGTCCTTCAATCTCAGTAGATCTTCTCCATGTTGTCCGAGGTCTTCCTCTTTTGCGCTTTCCTTGCGGGTTCCATGTGCGAGCTTGACGGACTATACTAGAAGATGGTTTTCTGAGAGTTTGGCCTAGCCATCCCCACTTTCTTCTCTTGATTTGAACGTCAAGTGGTTCTTATCCTGCTCTGTTCCAAAGCTCCTAATTTGTGACAGTCTTGCCATTTGATGCGAAGAATGTACCTCAGGTATCTGTTTATGAATGTCTCCACAAATGCATGTTGTGTAGTCTTGCCTTAATCTTGTATTCATGCCTGTCAGTGTGAAACTATTTGCATGTATATGCAGCCATACTTAAGTTGCGGCCCTTGGCATGTGCTGTGAGTTTCACTGTGGGCCCCAGGGCTTCCAAAGTTGAGTAGCTCTGATATAGACAGTGCTTGGTCCTACCACAAGGGCAGGGGACTGGACTTGATGATCTCTCAAGGTCCCTTCCAGTTCTCGTGTTCTATGATCTTCATTTAAAACTCAGACTAGTGGGCTGGGACTGATCCAGCCTGCTGCTCAGTTTTAAATGCAGAGCAGGCAGGGGTGGGGGTGAGCTGTTGCGGTTAACCAGGATCATTAACCGATAAGCAACTGAGTAGCTGTTAACATCCCTAGGTCTTCACACAGACAACTAGACCATAGCAAGCTGGTGTCTGGTAGATTCACTTCCCAGCTTCTTGTGAATTACCGGTAAGTATTTATGTATGGTTAGAGAGAGCTTGTCTAGACTTATGTCACAGTGGTGTAGCTGTGCCGCAGCAGTCCTTTAGTATAGATGCTACCTACATCAATGGGAGGGGTTCTCCTGTTGGCATAGTAATCCACCTCCCCAAGAGGCACTAGTTAAATCAATGAAAGAATTCATCTGTCAACCTAGCACTATTTACACAGAATGTAGGTCAGCTTAACTGTGCTGTTCAGAGGTGGGGATTTTTCACACCCCTGACCAACTGATCTCATTTTCTAGTGCATACCAGGCCTTAAATGTTCAATTCCTACCAAATTTCACTGAGTTGGGCACCTATCTCCCAGAGGCTCCTCTGAAAATCAAACAGCATAAACAAGTCATTATTTTGACTACTACGTGCAGTACAGTTGCTAACTAGACATCTAATACCAGACTTGTTTGTACTTCACTTTTAAGGAAGAGACTGCCATCTAGTGGTTAGAGTGGGGAACTGGTCATCAGGACTCCAGGCTTCTGTCACTGACATGCTACATACAGTACGCTCTACCTCTCTCCACCCATCAGAAAAGCAAAGATAACCACTTACCTACCCCACAGGGGTGCTAGCAGGTTTAAATTTTGTGTAAAATAATTTGAAATCCTCTAATGGGAAGAACTAGAGAAATGCAAAATTATTTTCCTCTGGGGCTTTCAAAAGAGTCTACAAGAATTCACACTGAAACAACAGTTGATGCCAAAATCCCAGTCATTCCTGTTCAGCAAGGTTTTTCCTTAGCCCAGCACAACTTCAGCTCAAAGCAGGATGGGGAACAACAATACTGAGCTAGCACTGACAAAGATTGCTCAGCCTGTGGGTTAAAAGACGAGGCACACCTTTCAAGCACGCCTCTCTGGCAGATGCATGAGTCAAACTGGCACACTGCAGAAGGTGCAATATATGTCACAGGAGTGGAGAGCAAGAATAAAGATCTGAGGGGCAAAGGGCCCCTAAGCAGCTGGGAAAGTGTAGTAAAACTATATTTCTACCACTGACATACCTGTTTTATGTTCGAAACATGTAAATTACCTCAAATTCTTCCCAGAAGCCTTGCTTGACTTTATCTGTGGTCTCTGCTAGTTTGCTTAGTTCTCGCACCCGACTTTCAATCTCTGCAGCATTAATACGGGTTGTATTCAGGGGCTAATCAAGAAAGATATTTCATAGTAAATCACTGCACCGCAATAAGAACAGGGAAAAGCTGGCTTACACATCTCTCCTGTATTAAAGACATTGCACGTAGGTACTACTCATTTTAGGACCGGGGTGTCACTCCAGATTTTGAAGATCATTCTTTTAAAAATCAGATTAATGTGGTGGCAGTAATACATGGCTCCAGTTTCAGTACATTAAACTTACTCCCCTCACTTTCTAACCAGATTTTAAAATCCTTGTAGGCCCACAGCTCTCAATGAAGCCTAAGGGAGTTCTAGATGCATCAGAAATAAACAATTAGGTCCTTTATAGATAGCTAAAAAAGCTATAGCAACTTAGATCCAATCATTGGACCTCCCCAAAAGATTATGAGGCTGGTGTAGAATAGAACAGTAAATTCACTTTTGTTTGTTCTTGGACTGAGCTGTCGATCAACAGATCTCATCTCATTTTCTATGACGCCGTTGGTGAGCGACTAAACCAATCCTTGATCGGCAGAGACAATTACAGATGTCACATAAAAAGCCACCAACTGCAGGCACTGTATGTTCTTTTCGGATCCTGCGTTTTTCCTGAAATGCTTGGATATGCTGACTCTCAAAGCAATTGAGAGCCTGTACCATGGTTTGCCGCCAGGACAATCTGTCCCGAACCAGAGTTTCCAGATCATTGGGAGATATGCCACATGACTTCATATTGGCCTTTAAGTTGTCTTATACTGACCACCAATAGAGCACTTTCCATGAGCAAGCTGGCCATAGAAGACCATCTTTGGTATCCGTGTATCATCCATCCTCATAACATGACCAATCCAGTGAAACTGTTCATAAGCATTACTTCCATGCCCATGACACCACTAGGAATTTTGTCCCACCAATTCACGTGGGTAATTTTCCTCAGACAACGCATATGGAACTGATCGAGCTTCAAAACATGGCAATGATATATTGTCCATGACTGAGCCATACAGCAGGACATTCAGGGCAACTGCCTGATAAACCACTAACTTGGTATGGAGTTTAATACCAGGGTCATTCCATAGGCATTTGGTCTGTTTTCCAAAGTCAGCGCTGGCTTTGGCTAGTCAAGCAGATACATCATGATCCACATTTATGCTAGAGGACAGTACACTTCTCAGGTAGCAGAACTTGTCAACAGCCTTAAGGACAGTACCAGCAGCAGTGATCACTGGAGTGCTGGGCTCTTTCCAGACAGATTGACACAACTTCTGTCTTCTTGAGGCTCGCTGGGAGTCCAATATGGTGAGCAGAAGTAACAAAGCAATCAAAGCTCCTATGCATCCTTCACTGAATGAGCCAGCAATGCACAGTCATCAGCAAACAGAAGGTCATGAATAGTTGTAGTAACCACTTTAGTGCGAGCCTGAAGTCTCCAGAGATTGAAAATACTGCCATCTGTTCGAAACTGAATAGGTATGCCCAATGTGCAGTCCTTAAAAGCAACTAACAGCATCACTGAAAAGTAGATGTTGAACAGGAGAGGAACAAGGACACATCCTTGCTTTGTACCGTTAGATATTTCAAAAGGTGCTGATGTCTCTCCATTGTCAAGGATGCGACCAGGCATACCATCATGGAGAGACCGAACAATGTTGATAAATTTTTCAGGACAGCCAATTCGCCCAAGTATTTTCCAGAGCCCATTTCTGTTGACCGTGTCGAATGCCTTGGTCAAATCAATGAAAATCACAGAGGTCCTGATGGTGCTCTCTAAATTTCTCTTGTCTGTCTGGCTGTAAATATCATATTGGCAATGCCTCGACCAGCACAAAATCTGCACTGGCTTTCAGGAATAATACCATTTTTAAACACATGTAGTGAAAGTCAGCTGTTGTAAAGGATGCGGGCCAGGATCTTACCAGGTATAGAGAGCAGAGAGATGCCCCGCTGGTCATCACAACACGCACAGTCACCTTCTCATATATAGACAGGGAAGGGTAAAAAGGAACAGGAAAGGAGCAAGGACACATCCTTGCTTTGTACCGCTTGATATTTCGAAAGGTGCTGATGTGTCTCCATTGTCAAGGACGTGACCAAGCATGCCATCATGGAGAGACCGAACAATGTTGATAAATTTTTTCAGCACAGCCAATTCGTCCAAGTATTTTCCAAAGCCCATTTCTGTTGACCGTGTTGAATGCCTTGGTCAAATAGATGAAAATCACATAGAGGTCCTCGTGTTGCTCTCTACATTTCTCTTTTATCTGTCTGGCTGTAAATAACACATCAGTAGTGCCTCGACTGGCACAAAATCCGCACTGGCTTTCAGGAATAATACCATTTTTAAACACATGTAGTGAGAACCAATTAAAAAGGATGTGGGCCAGGATCTTACCAGCTATAGAGAGCAGAGAGATGCCCCGATGGTCATCACAACACGCATGGTCACCTTTCCTCTTATATATTTGTACAATCAGGGCATCTTTGAAGTCCTGGGGGACTAGCTCCTTCTCCCAAATGGTGCTAAATAAATGGGTGAGACGGTACATCAGCTGGCCACCAGCAGCTTTATAAATTTCTGATGGAATTGCATCACTGCCAGGCACCTTTCCAGCTTTCATTTGCTTTTTGTACCTCATCAAGAGTTGGTGGTATGTCCAGCTGTAAATCATTAGCCCACTGAGGAATCTCTTCAAGAATGCTGCTGTCAAAAGTTGAGGTATGGTTCAATACTTTGTGAAAATGTTCAGCCCACCGGTCAAGGATTTTAGCACTATCCGTGATCAAAGTGAGGCCATCAGCAGAGCACACTGGTGTACAGCCAGCAATGCATGGCCCATAGACTGCCTTCAGCCCATCACCGAATGCTGTAAAGTCATGTCTATCAGCTGCATTTTGGAGTTTAACTGCTTAATATTTCCACCAGTTCTTTCATTTGCCATAATTTGACTTGTGCCTCCTGCTTAGCTTGAATATATGCGGATTTCCTGGAGGCATTCTCTTTATTGTTTTCCAAGCCTGGTGTCACATGCATCTTATCAAGAAGAGCTTGGGCATCTCTGTCCTTGTCGTCAAACCAGTCCTTGTACCTGCATTTTTGGAAACTGAGGATCTCAACAGCGGTTCTGCAGATTGTTTCTTTGTTTATCCAATCATCCTCAATAGTGAGTGACCATTCTAGACCTTCATTGCTGATTAAGGAAGCGTCAAGACTGCATTGAAACAGCACTTGTCTCAAATATTTCAAGTTTACCTACATCCAACTTTTTTCAGCATACAGCAGAATGACAATGTTTTGATGAACAAAGGTTCAAGGAGACAACACTGCATACAATGTAGTGGTCAGACCAGGAGCCAGTGCCACGCATTGCACGAGTCAACTTGACATAAAGGTCTCCTTGTTTGGTGATGAAGTAGTCAATCGTATGCCGATGCTTAGACCAAGGGTGCATCCAAGTTGCTTTGTATTTGTTCGCCTGTTGGAAGAAGGTGCTTGCAATAGCAAGCTCATGCTGCACACAAGTTTGAAGAAGAGTGCCATTTGAGTTCTCACTTCCAATACCATGATGTCCAAGCACCTTTGGCCATGTGATGTAGTCCTGACCAACTCTAGCATTAAAATCGCTGAGTATCTATAGCTTGGATTTAAAAGGTATTGAAGAGATCACTGAATTCAGGCTAGTGTAGAAAGCCTCCTTTTCATCACCTGCAGCAGTCAAAGTGGGTGCATATGCACTAACAAGTACAAGGCATTGTCCCAGCCTCAGTCTAAACTTTGCAGTCAAAGCGAGGACTGATGGCATGTGGCTCGGATTCAAGCTGGGGGACTAGCAGTGTCATGATGGTGAAGCCAACTCCTACATGCCTTGGATGACCCTCAGGGTAGTCCACACAGTAATATGAATAGCCTGCTCCAACCTCTGAACTGGCTGGTACCAGAAATACATGTTTCACTTAAAGCTGCAACATCAATTTTATAATATGCAAGTTCTCTACCAATGATTGCTGTCCTGCGTTCATGGTGATCATCACGATCAAGAAGTGCGCATACGTTCCAGGATGCAAAGCGTAGTTTGTTTAGTCGTTGACTTTTCCCTTGTGACCGCAAAAATTGGATATCCAGTCAGTCGCGGTTAGCCAACATGGTGCATTTGAGTGTTTACGGATTGTTTTCTCTCCCCCTCTTCTTGCAAAGAAAGTAGCGCTGTCCCTAAATAGGGCTGCTTTAACACCTAGGCAGGATACAGGAGCTGCTGTTGTTCCAGTTCAGCAGACAGACTACCATCACACCTGGGCCGCCTACGTGCAGGTTTCTGACTAAATGCTTCCAGTGGTATCCTTCACCTGCATCTGACGACACTTGCCCATTGCCGTAGGACTTTCATCAAGAGGTAAATCTTTGGCGTCAAGAGAGACCTTCACATATGAATGGATTTAAGTGAGGCAGGCTTGTGAGTTCCATCCCCACTCTCTTCACACCAACCATCATGCACTGACACAGGAACTGTGACGTGCACTGGAGGGAGAGAGCGCAGGCTTGAGATCAGAGTTACCTTCTGCTAGACTGATGCGCCTAAAAAGGCTTAGCAAGCTCAGTCTGCCCTGGTTTGGAATCAGTTTTCCTTCTCCTAGGTACTGTTGGTCCACGACACCTTATTTCGTATTATTCAGTACAACCCCTCAGGATCACTCCATGGAGGGCTTCCTCAATCCGCCACCCTGAGGACACGTCTCAACGCTGTAATACCCCAGCGTGAGGACTTTTGGTTGTAAAGCTGAATTAATGTCTTACATTCTGTAAAGTGTTGGAAGGAAAAAGGTTGAGCTGCCCCATCCACCCCTCCCCACCTTCATGTCCTGGAGTTAATTCATGTTTGTGATCAAAATTCTACTGTTTACTAAGCTCACCTGCTTCAGCTGTAGTACTGTGCCCAAAGTTTCTACCATGGGATTCTTCTTATAATGTTCCACCAGGTCCGTTAGAGAGTCAAATTTCTCCCCTCCGCCAACATCATATTTCAGCTCCTTCCAAGAAAGATGATTCAAAATGTGCTCATTCATAGCAATGTACAAAATCAAAATAAAGTCTGTGTTAATTACCTCTTTAGGCTTTTCAGTACTCATGTAAGGGTACTATTCAACTACCCCTTGCCATTCCATGTGGATATAAGACAAGACAATTCAGTTGGGTCATATCCCACTGAAAAGCAGCAACTAGGGATGTTAAAACATGTTTCTTTTGGTAAACATGTAAACACTGAAGTAAGTATAAGGCTTATACTGCAGAGCCTGCAGCATGCGTACCCACTAGAATTTAAGTTACAAAATAACCGTGTAACTGTTTTTTTGCATCCCTAGTCAGCAATATAAAGTTACCGTCTTATCTACCACTATCAACTATGCAATTAGCCACAGATCAGTTGAAGACAGAGGAGAACTCTAATAGTAATCTTACTTCCCAAACTTTCATGAACTCAAATAATGAAGTATGTTAAAAAGGCTAATACATATAAAGATAAATCATGGAATCATAGAACATTACAACTGGAAGGGAGCTTGAGAGGTCACAGAGTCCAGTTCCCTGCCCTCATGGCAGGATGCAGTACCGCCTACTTCATCCCTTATAGACATCTATCTAACCTGTTCTTAAATATCTCCAGAGATGGAGATTCCACAACCTCCCTAGGCACCTTATTCCAGTGTTTAACTACCCAGACAGGTAAGAAGTTTTTCCTAATGTCCAACCTAAACCTCCCTTGCTGCAGTCTAAGCCCATTGCTTCTTGTCCTATCTTCAGAGGCCAAGGAGAACCATTTTTTCTCCCTCCTCCTTGTAACATCCTTTTAGATACTTGAAAACCGCTACCATGTACCCTCTGTCTTCTCTCTTACAAACTAAACAAGCCCAATTCTTTCAGCCTTCCCTCACAGCTCATGTTCTCTAGACCTTTAATCATTCTTGTTGCTCTTCTGTGGACCCTCTCCAATTTCTCCACATATTTCTTGAAATGCAGTGCCCAGAACTGAACACAATACTCCAACTGAGGTCTAACCAGCGCAGAGTAGAGCGGAAGAATGACTTCTCGTGTCTTGCTCACAACACACCTGTTAATACATCCCAGAATCATGTTTGCTTTTTTTGCAACAGTGTCACACTGACTCATATTTAACTTGTCCACTATGACCCCTAGATCCCTTTCTGCCGTACTCCTTGCATTTGTCCTTATTAAACTTCATCCTATTTACCTCAGACCATTTCTCCAGTTTGTCCAGAACATTTTGAATTATGACCCTATCCTCCCACAGCAGTTGCAACCCCTCCCAGCTTGGTATCATCTGCAAACTTAAGTATTCTCTCTATGCCAATATCTAAATTGATGAAGATATTGAACAGAGCCAGTCCCAAAACAGACCCCTGCAGAACCCCACTTGTTATACCTTTCCAGCAGGATTGTGAACCATTAACTATTCTCGGAGAGTAGTTATTATCTAGCCAGTTATGCACCCACCTTATAGTAGCCCCATCTAAGTTGTATTTGCCTAGTTTATTAATAAGAATAGCATGTGAGACCGTCTCAAATGCCTTACTAAAGTCTAGTACATATGTACATAAAGAATCTAAACAGAGCCAGTCCCAAAACAGACCCCTGCAGAACCCCACTTGTTATACCTTTCCAGCAGGATTGTGAACCATTAACTATTCTCGGAGAGTAGTTATTATCTAGCCAGTTATGCACCCACCTTATAGTAGCCCCATCTAAGTTGTATTTGCCTAGTTTATTAATAAGAATAGCATGTGAGACCGTCTCAAATGCCTTACTAAAGTCTAGTACATATGTACATAAAGAATCTACAAACACCTGGAAGATAAGGTGATAAGTAGCAGTTAGCTTGGATTTGTAGAGAACAAATCAGGTCAAACAAATCAGGTCAAACAAACCTAATAGCTTTCTTTGACAGGGTATTAAGTAGTATCTTGATTGTAGAAAGGTTTTGGTACAATCTCACATTACCTTTTCATAAACAAACTAGGGAAATACAACCTAAATGGAGCTACTATAAGGTGGGTGCATAACTGGCTGGAAAAATTTTTCCATAGAATAGTTAGTAGTTCACAGTCATGCTGGAAGGGCACATCAAGTAGGATCCCGTAGGGATCAGTCCTGGGTCTAGTTCTGTTCAATATCTTCATCAATGATTTCAATAATGGCATGGAGAATGCACAAACAAGGAGTCCTGTAACACCTTATAGATTAACAGATGTATTGGAGCGTAAGCTTTCGTGGGCAAAGACCCACTTTGTCAGATGCATGTGATGAAGTGGGTCTTTGCCCACGAAAGCTTATGCTTCAATAAATCTGTCTATAAGGTGCCACTGGACTCCTCGCCGCTTTTGCAGATTCAGACTAGCATAGCTACCCCTCTGATACCTATAAAGTTTGAAGATGATACCAAGCTGGGAGGGGTTGCAAGTGCTTTCCAGGATAGGATTGTAATTCAACATGATCTGGACAAACTGGGGAAATGGTCTGAAGCAAGCAGGATAAAATTCATTCAGAACAAATGCAAACTATTCTACTTTGGAAGGAATGATCAGTTGCACACATACAAAACAGGAAATAACTGTTTAGGAAGGAGTATGGCAAAAAGGGATCTAGGGGTCATAGTACATCACAAGCTAAATATGAATCATCAGCGTAACACTGTTGAGGGGAGGAAAAAAAAACACCAAACATCATTCTGGGATGTATTAAGCAGGAGTGTTGTGAGCAAGGCACAAGGAATTCTTCCATGCTGATTAGCCCTCTATCGAAATATAGTGTCCAGTTCTGGGCACCACATTTCAGGAAAGATGGGACAAACTGGAGAAATTGCACAAAAGAGCAACAAAAATCTGACCTATGAGGGAAAGTTGAAAATAACTGGGTTTATTTAGTCTGGAGAAGAGAAGACAGAGGGGACATAGCAGTTTTCAAGTACATAAAAAGGCTATTACAAGATGGAGGGAGAAAACTTGTTCTCCTTGGCCTCTGAGGATCGAACAAGAAGCAATGGGCTTAAACTGCAGCAAGGGAGGTTTAGGTTGGACATTAGGAAAAACTTCCTAACTGTGGTTAAGCATTGGAATAAAGTGCCTAGGAAGGTGTGGAATCTCCATTATCACACTGCTGGGACGAAAACCCCATTCAGGGGAGGATGAGGGTGTCCACTTCACACCTGTATTCTCCACTTTTGTTCCCCAGCCCAGGTCTCTAATTTCACCTACCAAAGTCTGTCTACTCCCACCCCTTTGTCCCCAGGGCAGGGTGACCTAATGGTCAGAGTATAACTTGCCCCTATTTGCAGTGCAGCACAGTTCAATAGTCCCAATGCGACCCAATGGTCAGAGTCTAGCAAGGGATGGGAGATAGGGGAAGGGTTTACATCCCCCAGCGGGGGTGGAGGCCCTCCCACTCCACTGGACCTGAGCCCAGGGCCCTATTAGTGGCTCTCTTTAGCCACTTAGTCAGCAGGGAAAAGCTCCATCCACAACACGCTGACTCTCTGGCGCCGGCCATTGCAGTCCCTGGGCTGCTTCCTGCTTCAGGGGTCTCCCTCACTGATGTATGTCCAGTTCCCCTCCTTCACCTGGGATCTGGCTCCTTACTTCCAGAACCTGTGAGGTCTCTAAAATGAGTCTGGCCTCCAGCCTGTGTGGTAGCTCCTCGGCATTTGTGTAGTCTCTGCGGTTTGCCCGGAGCTGGCAAGGCACGTCCTCTCCCTCTGGCCGCCAGCCCCAACTGAGCGGAGTGGTTCTTTTATAGCAGCGCATCTCGAGCATGCCCAGTAAGGCACAAGGAGTGTGGCCCTCCCAGCCCTCAGGGTTGGTTTAACCCCCTTCTGCTTAGGGCGGGGAGAGAATGCCCTGTCAAACTCCAATGATGGATGTAAGAGTAGGTTTGACAAACAATCTGCAGGAATGGCGTAGATAATATTTATTCCTACCTGCAGTGCAGGGGACTGGACTAGAGGATCTCTCAAGGTCCCTTCCAGTCCTAAAATTTTATGATTCTATGACTGAAAACAGAAAGGTATCTTCAAATTTGGACAGCATTTATTGAATGTGTGCGCGCGCGCGCACACACACACACACACACACACACACACACCCTACCCCCTCTAGCAGGCACTCTCACTCAGTTACATTGTTTCCATCCCAAAGGCCTGATTTCTCTAAACTAGGTGTGTGGGGAGGGTTGGTTTTGCTAAGACAAACAAAATTGTTAGAAGAACTGTATCTTCTAAAAAGAATTAATACATTCAACAGATTTCATCCTTTAACACCAATACTTGGGCACATATTAAAATGTTTTGAAAATAAAAATAGCTGTCAAGAACTAATCCTGACATCAGAAAACTTGAACACAGGCTTTAGTAAAGGCGAACTACCCTACCTGAAATTTAAGCTGGAGGAGAAGGTTCCTTTGTATTAAATATTGAATGTATTTTATTATGGAAAAACATTTTAAAAAGATAAAACCAGCCTCCATAGTACAGCTACAAAAAAAAATCCACCTGAATGGATTCCCAGATTTATTATATAAAAATTGAAGTACAGGTTGACCCTCTATAAACCAGTACTCTCGTGTCTGGCAACATTCGTGGTCTGGGAGGACCATAGATGCTGCAGGAACAGAGCGTGCTAGTGGTGCTTGGCAGCCAGTTGCCAGCAGGGCCAGGAGCCCCTGGCAGGGCTGCCTGGCAGGGCCTGGAACCCAGTGCCCCAGCGGGGCTGCCCAGCACACTGCAGGAAGGCTGTGCTGTGTGCCCCAGCTGGACTGCACAGCAGAGCTGGAAGACTCAGCAGGGCCCTGAGCACCTCAGCGGGGCTGTGCAGCGTGGCAGGCAAGGGTGGATGAGGACCAGCGGGGCCTGTGGCGCAGATATGACCTCCCCTGGTCCAGCAAAATCCCTCACCTGGGACCAGTCAGGTCCCAAGTGTGCCGGACCAGGGAGGTCCAACCTGTAGTAAGACTGCAACAAACTTAAAGATTCATGAATGGGAAAGGCTGAATCAGCAGAGGCTTTGAGACAGACTTTTGATGCAATCAAAGGGAAACCTATTTGAAGCTCCTCAGCAAGATAAATATAAATTTTATTAAAACCAATGTTTGAAATGAAAATTCACATGGTGCTCAGGTTTAGAGGGAAGGCTCTGTCCCTCGGGGTTCATGCTTAGATTATCCAAAAGAAAAAAATCTGTCTTAGTCACAAATACATACAGGCTGTGTCTACACTGACGCATTCTTGCGTGAAAACGGCCGCTCTTGCGCAAAAACTTGCCGCCTGTCTACACTGGCCACTCGTTCTTGTGCAAGTAAACTGGCGTTGTACTGTAGAAAATCAGGGCTTCTTGCGCGAGAACTCTGATGCGCCCTCTCAGGAATAAGCCCTCTTGCGCAAGAGCTCTTCCAGAAGAGGCCAGCGTAGACAGGCACCATGAATTTCTTGCGCAAGAAAGCCCTACGGTTAAAATGGCCATCAGAGCTTTCTTGTGCAAGAGAGCATCTACACTGGCATGGATGCTCTTGCGCAAAAGCACATCTCTTCGTAAAAGGGATGCAAATTAGACGTAACCCTTATTTTAAGAGGGATAAGGGATCTTTTGGAAAAGGCTTTATTTTCCGAAAGATCTGCGTCTAGACTGGCGCTTTTTTCTGGCAAAGCTCCGTGCTGAAAAAAAGCAGCAGCCATTTTTATGCGAATGAAGCAGGGGAGATTTAAATCCCTGCTTCATTAGCAATTGCGATACGTCTAATTTGCATCCCTTTTACGAAAAAGGGAGGCAATCTAGACATAGCCGAAGAGTTTTTCCAGAAGAACTCTTCCGCAAAAGAGTTCTTGTGTGAGAAGCTGCATGTGTAGACATAGCCACACTATATAATCAGTGTTGATTATAATCAGAGTGCTATGACATGATGCAGTCAGAGAAGCAAAATTTTAGCAAATAACCAACCTACTGTACCTACAGCACCATCTGACCAAAATAAGTGGACTGAATAGTATTGAGAAGTAGGGATGTTAAAATGGAGTTTGTGTAAATGTGTATCTGAATGCATGTGTAGACATAGCCACACTATATAATCAGTGTTGATTATAATCAGAGTGCTATGACATGATGCAGTCAGAGAAGCAAAATTTTAGCAAATAACCAACCTACTGTACCTACAGCACCATCTGACCAAAATAAGTGGACTGAATAGTATTGAGAAGTAGGGATGTTAAAATGGAGTTTGTGTAAATGTGTATCTGAATTTACACACCGGGGGGAGGGGGGTGCTAGTGCTAGTGGGGAGCTGGCTTTCCAATAGCACTGCCCCCCCCCCCACACCACCGCACACC